CTTAACATATAAGTAACATACTCTGATACCTTCCAGCTGTACTTTGGAAAGCAGCAACTAATTCCGTCTCGTCATTATCATCCTTGGCTTTGTTTACACAAGACTGCAAAGGAGAACCAAATTTTTCCTCAGATTTTTGTACTGGGCTTGTTTCTTCAACGGAACGAGAGAAGCATACCTTTAGTCTTTCCCTAACAGCTTGGAACTCCAATCCCCCACTGTCCGCCATTTTGGCTTTTACTTAGGTCTGATGGGTACCCTCATCCCAGTACCTCTCCAACTTTGGAAATTCAAGATGGCACACACGGTGTTCAAAATTGTTCACTGAAGTTCGATTGGTTTGTCATTCCCATCCGTGTATCCAGAGAGAAGACTTTCTACTGATCACTGCAATAGTTATCTTACCTAGCCTGAAGCATCATTAACCACTCGTAAGTCAAGTAACAAACGCTGTTGTTGCCTTTTTTGGTGCACAACCTGTGAGACTCTGTGTACGCGACACGACGTAATTCTCATCCAAGGCGGTGTGTTGGGTTCGTTTCAAAGCATTTGCTGAATTTTTACTTCATTGTGGGTTAATTCTATGATGGTTCGAGTTGCCTTCGTTCATCCAGACCTGGGAATCGGTGGTGCTGAACGTCTAGTGGTGGATGCTGGCTTAGCTCTGAAATCCCGTGGTCACGAAGTTCATTTTTTCACATCTCACCATGATAAGTCTCACTGCTTCGAGGAGACTAAGAACGGTTCACTTCAAGTCACTGCAGTTGGAGACTGGCTCCCTAGACACTGCTTTGGATATTTTTACGCTTTCTGGGCGTATGTAAGAATGATTTATGTCTCTATTTATCTGGTGTTCTTCTCATCATGGCGGATGGATGTTGTGTTTTGTGATCAGGTGTCTGTCTGTATCCCCTTTCTAAAGCTCAGCAAAGCACGGATCGTGTTTTATTGTCATTTTCCAGATTTGCTCCTAACTCAACGAAAAAGCTATCTTAAAAAGCTCTATCGTGCTCCATTAGACTGGTTGGAGGAACTCACAACTGGTAAGCTGAAATGTGATCTTCACGTGTGAAGGATAATAAAGAAGGCTTTGTCAATGTGTTTAGTTTTGAGGGTTAGGGGAGGTGCTAGTACAGATTCAAACTGACAGGGGTGACCAGAGGTTTTATTTTTGTATCATTC